TGTCTTCAGCGGTCAAAGAAGAACTCTACAGAGAGTTTCTCAGCCTTCCACTGTAGCCACACTCCGGCTTGACTGGTTCGCAGTCTGTGAAACGCAAGGTACGAGGACATGGCGCCTTGGAATATAGTTGCCGTGGGGAATCGCCTGGATTACATCGATTTCGATAGCCGAGAAAAGACGTTCACCAAGGCTGTACAACAGGCTTACATGGCACTCACGATTCTCGCAAATTACAAGGTGAGATGCTCCCTTGGTGATACCCAAGCGTGCTCTCTCTCAGCGCACAGTAGAGGACTTCGGGCATTGTGATCGGAAGAAGGCGAAGGTTACTGCGGGCTATGACTTCTTCCCATACATACATGACTGCGTTGGCAATTCAAAGTTCAAAGGGCCGTGCAAATCTCCAGAGCTGCCAGTGCCGTGCTCTGATGGAAAGTACGTCTGCGTTCAATATCTAACAGACCACGTAGCTGTCATGCACATGTGGAAGCCCTCAGGTGCCATGCAGATATGATAAGCTGCTTGCGAGCTCGGGCCGGAGTGATGGAGAAAACTCTTATCACATGAGGCTAGTTTAAACATCTGCGGAAATATGTATATTCGTGTAAGGCTTCAGTCGGGTGAGGATGTGTTGCGTACTGTCCGCCACTACAGGGGTTGGGCAAGTATGGGCTCTCCATATGATCCCGATAAACTAGATTTAGTTCCCAGTTTGATATCAAGAGGAGGTTCTGACGTGAATGAGTGGGATTTACAACACAAGTTGGCAGTGCCATTAGAGTATTTGAACGCCTCGCACAGCTCATCTGCTCGGCGTCTGATCTTTCTCCCACAAGACTACAGCTATAGGTGCAACCGAATTCCTGCCACTATGAGGTCGATAGCGCTACACGCTGGGCCAGTGAGTAGATCCGTCGCTGGCTGCGCCGACCACAGAAATCTTAAGCTCAGAAAATGTCAGTCCAGACCTGATCTCCTTGTAGCAGCAGCTACGTGCGCTGCATTAGCTATTTTGTTGTCATCGTTTGGGAATCCACCAACTTGATAGTCGCAGGTTCGATCCGAGGTGAGTACATTTTTATGAAAGCTGTGTGCTAGGCTGAAGATACGCATTATTTATGAGAAACCTCATCAGATTTAATAACTATCATGGCGGAACGAACTTGTGTAGTTGTTGGAGCTGGTGTAGTTGGTCTAGCTATAACTCGAGCTCTTGCGAGGTGTGCTGCTCTTGAGGTAAGTGTGGTATCACCAATCTACAACTATCATCTAGAAACCATTCCCTATCAATGTTGGTCTGTTAATCTATCATCTGTATCATCTTAACAGGTCATATGTATTGATAAGCATTCCCGTTTCGGTGAGGAGACCAGTAGCCGTAACAGCGAGGTACTCCATCAAGGTGAGATAAGGTGTTCATCTTGTATTCTTATTATCAGTAGTGTTAGGTATTTACTACAAGAAGGATTCTCTTAAAGCTAAGACCTGTGTCCGAGGCGCACGGCTGATGCAGAAATTCAT